ATTGGATGTCCAGAGCTTCACTGTGAAGTACCTTCTCTGCACATCTGACCATGGAGCTGCTTTTCCAAACCTAAAGCCACAGAAGGGACCACACCAAGCACTGCTCATCCTCTCCTGTCTAGCTGTGTGAGGCTCTGTGACACGATGGTAACAACATCCTGGCGGTGGGTTGACTTTGCAGTGAAATGGAGGAAAAAGGAGTGCATTGTGTTTCAGTGTGTGCTGAGGGTGGCTGTCACAGGGAGCTAGCAAATCCTGCTGTGATTTGTGAACAGGAATTCTGCCAAAGTCATGGAAGCAAAGTGGTTTGTTACTTGCCTTTGAGGGCTTGAGAGAGATCTGTCTTGGATTTCCTCTTGTTGACCTTATTGAGTTAACTTTCATGTGTTTAGAAGGTCATGGAGAAAATCATTAATATTAGGTTGATTTGATGGCTGAAAGGTAATAAGTATTTCCTGCTTATCAGATGGGGTTTGAGAGGACTTGGAATAGTCTGATTTGTTTATCTTTTGCAATCGGTATGGCCCTTAGCTAGAGGGATTTTGTATTCCTGGTTCAGCTGGGGGAATGACATATGGTTGAGTGACATAGGGAGCTCTCTATTGAGTGCTCTGTAGCATAAATAGCAAAACACCAAGAAATTCTCAAGTCCAGCTCCCAGCTAACTTGGGTATGCTGTGGGCCTTGGACATCTCATGCTGTAACGCTTTATGACACGAACAATAACAGATTAACATCCCCCGTTACTGAAAAGCTTGAAATAGAAAAATCCAGAGTGCTGGAGGTTGGTTGGGTGGAAAGCCAAATCCTGCAGACGTGGCTTGGCACGGCCCGGCTTCCATTGACCTTGGCGGGGCTGGGATTGCTCCGTGCACAGGAGGCATCTGTGAGTGCAGAGATGGGGCACGAGCCGTGCAGGGCTGACATCACAGAGCTGCTCTTGGAGCTTTTCTTGGATTAATGCACACTGAAACCTTAGGCTGCATCAGCAAAATGGTCCTTCCCTCACCCTCCGTCTGGGATTTAACAAAGAGGGCAGTCGTTCTTTAAGCTGAAGGATCATTGTCAAGCCATTTAAAATGAAATCCACTCTTATTTGAGACTCATTTGGCAAAAAAGCACATGAAAATCTCCCATTGTGGACTTGCTGGAAGACAGATGTAATTTCTGGTTCCTTTGGCTGTTGGGAAAGGAGGTAGAACTGAATGCTCCACCTTGAATGATTGAGCAAGGACAGCAGACAAGGGAGAGCAGCTTCCTTTCATGAGTGAGGCATTTCTGTTGCTTTTGGGGCTGGAGGTGATGGTTATTTTTACAGTAAATGCTGTTTATTCCCTTGTATAAACTTTGGATAGCCAACTGTATTTGTAGCTGGACATTATCAATGAAAGGTGATAAATAGTGACAAATAAATAAAAAATGGATAAGAAAGTGATGGAAAAGGAAAAGAGAGGCAGAGTGAAAATGAAATGAAATTCAATGCTCTGATTTAACAGCTGGAATTTTGCAGGTTATAAATTGTTGCCAAGGAATGAGATGGAGTTACACAAAACCACTATCCTGAGATGCTGAAATCCACATGCACAGGCAGCAGCCCATAGCAGCTGGACAGACGCCAGACAGGACAGAGCCCTGTCTCCTGTGTCCCACAGTGCTGCTCAGGAGCTGGAAGGTGCACGCAGCCCTTCCCTTCAGGGACCTGTTGTGTGAGCTCTGGACCCAGGGTCTGTTTTGCTGCCTGTATGGAGGTGTGGATGATCAGACTGAAAGGCAAAAAAGGGCCTCATTTTGTGTATGATGTGTTATGTGCAGTAATAGCATTTCAATAGTCAAAACAAAAAAGGAAATCTTGCTTTGGTGAACAGGAGTGAAAGCCCTTCAGTTTAAGGGACTTAAAGACATTTCTGAATTCAAGTGTATTGAGGGTGAGTGTACTTGGTTTCAGGTGACCTCCCTGACTGAGTGTTGGCCATCAGTTGCCAAAGGAGACATATGTTACTAATTTTTATGGGATTTATAGAAGAGTCTCTCTTTTGGTATATATACATGGACTTCCTTATCTCAGAGAAGTTTGCTGCTTGAGGGAGTGTACCCTGTAGGGAAGGGGTCCTGTGAGAGTGGATTTTAGCAATGATCAAACAAGTTTTATCTCATAAAATCAACACTGCATGAAACTTTTTTTTGGGTATTGATATTCTGTGCTGCAGGCCAGATGCAGCCCAGGCTGGCATGGGTAATTCCCTTTGGCCACCGTCCAGCTGAGCATCCTGTTTCCACAGGGTGGTTAAGTGTGAGCTTATCTTTAAGCAGGTGGCTAAATCCGGGTGGTTTCACTGCTGCTCTTGCCACGGCTTCTGGCCAGGAGACAGCTCAGCTGCAAGGGGAGCCTGCAGCCTGTTCCAGGATTTCTGCCCTGGCTCAGAGCTGGGCACTTCTAGGGAAGTGCTGGAGTGATACAGGCTGGGCTGGCTGTGTTTCAGGGCCAGCATCACCTGCTGATTCCTGCATCAGCTACTTCAGCTCTTGGCTAATGGTGGGGCCAGCCGGCTCCTTGGACAGGGGAGGAGGAGATGGCACCCCTGTGCTGCTGGTGCCCTTCTTGCAAAGGGAAGGGGTGCTTAATTAGCTGATCTCAGGCAGGACAGCGGTGACAAAGGTGTGTTGGTGACATGTTGGAGCTGAGCACTGTGCAGGATGCTCATGGGTGCTCCTGGGCCCACCGAGGCACTGCAGCTACAGCCTCTGCACTGTGAGCGCTCCAGAGACAATTAGAAGAGAATTAAAACGTGTTTTGGAAAACAGATCGCATTTTCTGTTGGGAGTTTCCAAAAAGCAAAGCAACCTGCCCTTCCCCCCACTTCAAATCCCACCTGTTTTGGTTTTTTCCTAGAAAAATGTGAAATTCATTAACATGTGGTGAAAGCAATGTAACGACGTCATCTTGATTTAAAATCTGTTTTAAATCTTAAAATAATGGAGCCAGAATTTTAGCTGCAAATAGCCTTGCTTTGTGGGCACAAGGCAGACTGTCAGCATGACTGGAACCTTTCTGGGTTTGGTAGTTCAGCATCTTTTGCAACAATGGGATTTGAAAAGAAAGGAAGAAAAGACATAGCAAGGAGAAAAATAAATTAATGTGATTTCTGTCAAAAGTCAAGCGCTGTGTGCTTCGCTCAGGTGTAGCTGTGGTGCCTGGGGAGGGCAGGGCAAGCAGAGCCCTGCTCTCTGCTGGCCAGAGCCCTGTCAGCATCCTGATGTGGCACCCTGCCATGCCCTCTGGCTAGGGCTGCTCCTCCTCCCACTGCCCAGCTCTGGGTCACAGCTCCTGGCCCCTCTGTTTTCTGAGTGGGAAGTGTTGTGACCCCTGTCTGTCACCTCTGACATCGCTGTGAATGTCCCAGCATTGCCCTGAGCCTCCCTTGCCCAGCCTCTGCCTGTGCCTTCAGCTCCCTATGGGCTTCTGACAGCCAAATCAGAGATAAATCACTTTCTCCTCAAAACATCAATACCAGAATCCCAGATTTTACTAAGAGCACCGAAGGCAATCCCTCAGCATCACTGGGAACCTCATTGCTGCTGCTGTGCTGAGCTTGGGCTTTGGCCCAGGGTGCTTTCTGAAGGTCTGGTGCTCAGCAGCACTGCCTGCCTGAGTGAGCTTTCCTTCCTGCTGCAGGCCTGGGTGTCCCCAGGATAAGTGGCAATGCTGCAAAGCTCCATTGAGGTTTTGACTTTCAGGCTTCACTGTATTTGCTGGTATGAGATGATGTGCAGGAGGCTGAAGTGGGGCTCTTTGGTGTGTTGTGGCCACTTTCTTTATGTGTTTTAGTCTGGAGTGGATCTGAACAAGGATTTATTGACCTTTTCCATTTTCATTGCCAGTTCCCTCCCCACACTGATACATCAGAACACTTTTGCTTGCAGGCCATGTTCCATGTCATTTGTTGTCCTGTAAAGTCTGCCACCAAAATGTTGCCCATCTGTGAGTTTGGAGTGGATGATGTGGATGTTGTGGTGCAAATGTTCCACAGATCATAGATGGACAGTTCATGGAGCAATTTTGGGGCCTTCCTGTTGTTTAGGTGTGAAGAGCATTTTGGGTGCATGCTGCCCAGTCTCCCCTTTGGGAAGGCATCTTGAGAACAGTGGTGTTATTGGGTCCTCTGACCTTGGGCAAGTCAGGATGACTCTTTGGAAGGAAAAGTGGGACTCCTGTTTTGATATTTCTTGGGGATACTTAAAATAGGAAACAAAATGAAAAGTTTATGGTAATAGTTTAAGCTGTAGTGAACTAAGGTTAATTTATTCCCTTGGCCAGAACAAACAGATGAGGTGGCTGAGGTTGTCAGACCCCTGCTGATCACAGCCACTGGTGGAAAAGCTGGTTTGATTCTCACCACTCCTCCTGTGGCCCTTTTGAGGTGGACAGAAACACGTCCATGGCTGGTGATCATGAGGTGGCTTCACTGCAGAGCAGAGTTGTCAAACAGTTAAGCTGTGGAGTGTACAAGTGTCACTTCTGTTGTAGGGGACTTTATGCCAGTGTGAAGTTCAAGTCCAGACTGCTAAGGGCAACACAAAGAGTTTTTTCCCTTGATGTTTTCCTGCAGTTAACTCAGAGAATCAGTGCAGCTGCTGAAGGTGATGCACCAAATCTCTGAGAAGGGTTCAGCTGTCTCCACTCTCCAGTTTGTGCCTGTGTAACCTGGTAGAGGCTGTGCATATGCAGTGGGGAGCCTAATTTATGGTCAGCATGGCTGACTAGGATTTAATCAAACCCGGGAGGAGCAGAAGTTTTTATTTGAAAACTCCCAGTTTGATTGCAATGGCCCAGGTTTGGTTTGCTGTGGAGAATCAGCTCTGGGTGGCTGCTGGCACTGTTGCCAAATGAAAGGCAGCCAAATCTGAGCCCCCCTTTGGCAGGCCAGTGTGCAGTCCCTCTGCCCCAGAGCCCGTTGTGCTCATGCTCTGTTCTGCTCTCTCCCCACTCCCCACCATCCCAGATGTTTGCTGCTGAGGAGAATGTGGATTTTCGGATACACGTGGAGAACCAGACGCGAGCGAGGGACGATGTGAGCAGGAAGCAGCTCCGGCTCTATCAGCTCTACAGCAGGACAAGTGGGAAGCACATCCAAGTGCTCGGCAGGAGGATCAGTGCCAAAGGAGAAGATGGAGATAAATATGGTAAGAATATTTACTGGGATCCCCCAGACTTCAGGTCAAAGGCTTTAATCCAGGGTGTTGTGCTAAGAACCTCTTGGGAGAAAAGGAATAAGAGCAATAAAAACCAAAATAAAAGGAAAAATAACATTTCCAGGTTAAGAACATGAGATTTATTTTGCTGGTGCTGCCTCCCAGCTGCAGGCAGTTCCCACAATACTGCCATGCCCCAATTTATTAGTATATGGTTGAAGAAAAGAATGTCTTTCTCCCCGGGCCATGAGCTCACAGTGTGTTTACTGCAATTCATAAATGATACCTAAATTGGTGGTTGGAGAAGTCCTTTCCCCATGAACTCTTGGGCTCATGTTTGGGTGAATCCAGTGTTTGAATGAAGCACTTTCTTCTTTTCGGGTGGTGGGATATTTGGTTTAAACTGAACGTAGACTTTGAGAGCTTTGAGAATACCCCAGAGCTCAAGCCGAATCTCTTGAGTGTGTGGATCTTGCAGGAAAAACAGCACTTACCCCGTGCTGACAGCACATTCAGCTGTTCTTGTTGTGATTTGCACACAAGCAACATGCTGGAAACGCCGCTAGAGCCTGGGCTATGAAAAATGCTGTATTTCTGGTTTATTCTGAGATGGTTTCTGCTGAGATGCTTTTACTCTAGTTGGCTGTTGGGAGGAGTTGCGGGCTGTTGAGAGCACTGTTCCTATCCGTGTTTGGGATGTGCAGCCTGTGCGTTCCCGTGCTGCTGCAGAAGTGTGTGTAGAGTTTGCTGGCTCAACCATTCGCATGGGATTGTCTGCAGCACTGGTGAGGTGGAGCCGAACTTCGAGGAGGGCAGGTCAAAATCTGGGAGCGGTTGTTCCCTCGGGAGGCCTCGGGAGGGATGAGGCACACGCTGAGTACTGGGGGCAGCCGCTGCCACTGCAGGTGCGGGATCTGCGCCGCGGGAAGCGACAGCCAGAGAGCGCCGGGCAGGGAGGGAGTGACCCCCAAAGCGCTTGTGCGGGGTCAGCCCCTCTCTCAGAGAAAGCCCTGCCCTCACGTCTCGTCAGCCTTGCCCTTTGTCATTCCCAAATTTTTTCCCAGATATTACAGGAGTGAAAAGTGCCACTTGGCTGCTAATTATTGTGTCATTTTATGGCATTCATCCTCCTGAGCTCTGATGTGTAAACGAGGCGCTGGGCGCTGCCGCGGCCGCCCGGTGCGGCTGCTGCCCGCGGTGCCTGTCAGGTGCCGTGATGGAGTTTTCCTCTCGCTGAAAGAAGGCGGCATTTACAGTGGGTGCAGCAGGGAAGTGTTCCCGGGAGCAGCTGACAAGTGCTAATTTATGTGTCAAAGCCCATCTTGTCCCCTTCATACATATGCAATCGTGTCTGAACAACAAACCCCGCGTGCGGGAGCGCGCTCGTGGCCGAGGGCGCTGCTGCCATGACAGAGCCCGAGATTCCCGGCCGGGAGCTCCTGCATCCCTGCCTGCCTCCCGACCCTGCTCCTGCATCCCTGCCTGCCTCCCGACCCTGCTCCTGCATCCCTGCCTGCTCCAAACCCTGCTCCTGCATCCCTGCCTGCCTCCAAACCCTGCTTCTGCATCCCTGCCTGCTCCAAACCCTGCTCCTGCATCCCTGCCTGCTCCAAACCCTGCTCCTGCATCCCTGCCTGCCTCCCGACCCTGCTCCTGCATCCCTGCCTGCTCCAAACCCTGCTCCTGCATCCCTGCCTGCCTCCAAACCCTGCTTCTGCATCCCTGCCTGCCTCCTAACCCTGTTCCCCATCCCTGCCTGCCTCCCAACCCTGCTCCTGCATCCCTGCCTGCCTCCAAACCCTGTTCTCCATCCCTGCCTGCATCCAAACCCTGTTCCTGCATCCCTGCCTGCATCCCAACCCCGCTCCCCATCCCTGCCTGCCTCCTAACCCTGTTCCCCATCCCTGCCTATCTCCAAACCCTGCTCCTGCATCCCTGCCTGCATCCCAACCCTGTTCCTCATCCCTGCCTGCATCCCAACCCTGCTCCTGCATCCCTGCCTGCCTCCAAACCCTGTTCCCCATCCCTGCCTGCCTCCTGACCCTGTTCCCCATCCCTGCCTGCATCCAAACCCTGCTCCTGCATCCCTGCCTGCCTCCTAACCCTCTTCCCCATCCCTGCCTGCATCCAAACCCCGCTCCTGTATCCCTGCCTGCATCCAAACCCTGCTCCCCATCCCTGCCTGCCCCCCCAGACCCCGTCCAGCTCCCTCCCCAGAGCCTCTCAGCAAACGCGCCGAGGCTGCGGAGCCTCCTCGCCCCCAGAGCTGTGAAAGGTTATGGAAATCTGCTCTTGGTGCTGCTTGGCACGGAACACTCGGAGCATGACAATCGGGGAGACAGTGAGGTGGGACACGGCGGGCCGGGATGGAACCACGCAAAGCTCCTGTCTGGGATAATGGAGGGGGGAGAGATGTCGGAGTTACTGGAGTGAGAACCATCTGTGTTACAGCCCAACCTGGACACAAAAGCAATGACACAGGGTTCATTATGTGCCAGGAACCCCGCCCCCTGAGGCATTATTATGGAGTAACCTTTGATCAAGACCAGAGAGAGGCTTAAACCGGGTCTGGGGATCTCAACAGTTGTAAACTTTTGATCCACATCTCCGTCCTGCCGGTCAGGTCTGCATCTGGAGGAGGACACCTCTCCTCCCACGCAGCAGATGGCTGAGGGTCCCCCTGCCCTTTCCCTGCCCGTGACAGAGCCGGGCTGTGCCACCCTCGCAGATGGCACCGGCTCCTGCCCCGGCCCTGCTGGGGAGCGCACGGTGAGGGCTGTGAGGGCTGGTGGCCTAAGGACTGCAGCTTGGGGAAGGTTTTAGGAGGAGAAACACGTCTGAGAAATGTCTGAGAAAAGGAAAGAGATGTGGGCAAAGTGCCCGTGAGCTGGCTCCAGCCGTGCATCCTCTCAACAGCCCGGTCCGGTCAGGAGAAGGTGACATCGGGCAGGGCCACGCCGGCTCAGGGCTCACTGTGTCAGGGCGAAGGTCCCTGGTGCTCATCACCAGCCCTTTAGCACCAGCCCGTTTTAAGGATAGCGGAATAAATAATGTTTTAACACCTCTTTCCCGTCTTCCCTTATATTCACAACAGTGAATATTTCTTTTCTTTGAAAGAAATGTTTCTTTTTTTCCTTTTTTTTTTTCCACATATCCAGCTTCCAAATGGGAGGGTTGTCTTGCCTTTGAAGGGAGGTTACTTTTATTGCAAGGCTTATGACTTCTGTAAAACTTCTCACCTCTTGGTTGCAGAGAATGCCCAGAACAGAGGGGAGGTGGCCGATCTCAGGCAGGGAACTTCTGCTTTCCAAACAGCCACCCCAAGTAGAGCAAAATGAGCAGCCAGCCCTGGTCAGGGAGGAATGCTGCTGCAGGGCGGGGGGACCCAGCCAGAGGAATCCCCTTGATTGTTTTATCCAGGTGTGTGAATGCCATGTGCAAGGCAAAATGCATGCTCTGCAATGCATAATTCTGCTGCCATAACAATTCCAGTGTGTAGTTTTTGGTTTATGCATTCTTTGGGGCCAAGATCTGGTCCTGTGTGTCGGATTATTAAATGTCAAATTAAGTCAGTTAATAGAATTAATTGAGCCGATGTAATCCATTTAATCAGATGGATCTGATCCCTTCTCAGATGAATTAGAATCCATTAACAGATAAGTCAATTATTGGACTAAATTAAATCTAATAATAATGCCTGCTGCTCACAGCAACACTAATTAATCTAAATACACTTACCTATCTCCCAAGGTTGTTTTTTTTTAAAGGCTTAATTGATGTTCCTAAAGTGCTCTGAGATCTTTAGATAATAGATGATCTGTGTGAGCAAAATATTATCTCTTAACAGACTATAAACTAATTAAAGGACTGATGTATATACAAATTGCATTTTTACTTTAATCCCTTGAACCTATTCAGAAAGAATTTGCACTGGCCCAGAAAAACAATATTTCTATTATAAGCTTATTATTGCTTTACAGGTTCCTAAGTGGTCCTTTCATTCAGAAAATGAAAGGGTGAAGGAGAAAAAACAACCATTAAATTGCTGACAAAAAAAAAAGGACCTGGAACCTTTATAATCTACTTCCGATAAATGGTACAGATAGGGAAGAGAGGGATCAGTGACCTGAAACCTTAGATCCTTTCATTTATTTTCATTTCACAAAAGGCAGAAGACATTCTATCCTGTTTGTTCACGATCTGTGTATCCGGCGCAGTTGGGCAGGCAGAGCCCTCTTGGTTGGATGAAGGCATTTTTTGCCTCATTTGTATTTCAGAGGTTTTTGGTTTAATTTGTTCACAGTCCTGCTGTCCTGCGGGGCACGGAGCAGCGAGAGCCATCAGTGCGGAGGTGTGAGAGCCCCCTGCTCCCCTCGGTGGAGGGAACTTTAATGTGCGGAGCGTGGGGTGTCCTGGGGCTGGGCTGGGCACAGAGGTGCATCCCTGATCGGCACCTCCAGGTGCTGTGTGCTCCGTGCATCCATCCCAGGTGCTGTGTGCTCCGTGCATCCATTCCCGGTGCTGTGTGCTCCGTGCATCCATCCCAGGTGCTGTGTGCTCCGTGCATCCATTCCCTGTCCTGTGTGCTCCGTGCATCCATCCCAGGTGCTGTGTGCTCCGTGCATCCATTCCCGGTGCTGTGTGCTCCGTGCATCCATCCCAGGTGCTGTGTGCTCCGTGCATCCATTCCCGGTGCTGTGTGCTCCGTGCATCCATTCCCGGTGCTGTGTGCTCCGTGCATCCATCCCAGATGCTGTGTGCTCCGTGCATCCATCCCAGGTGCTGTGTGCTCCGTGCATCCATTCCCGGTGCTGTGTGCTCCGTGCATCCATTCCCTGTCCTGTGTGCTCCGTGCATCCATTCCCGGTGCTGTGTGCTCCGTGCATCCATTCCCTGTCCTGTGTGCTCCGTGCATCCATCCCAGGTGCTGTGTGCTCCGTGCATCCATTCCCTGTCCTGTGTGCTCCGTGCATCCATTCCCGGTGCTGTGT